TTCTGATAGTCTTCATTACTTGTGCTTTATGAATGCAAATCTCGGAACCGGTCAGTTGATCTATTGAATGGCATTTTTATAGCATTTGCTTAGTTATTCGTTTATAAAAATAACTCAAAATAATTCATAAGCTACAATGAATTTTAAGAGAATGAAGTCTACTTTTGAAGAGAATGAAGTCTACTTTTGAAGAGAATGAACGTAACAACCTATGACACAAATAATGTGCAATAATTTATTATGTTCAGTTATGTTTGGTCCAAATTGGGTTTTCAAGTTTTAGTCTTAGACGCACAGATATCTACAGTATAGGAGTGACCATAGTACAATAACAGTTACGAATTTCTCAGCTTCATCGACCGACAATTCGTCATCTCTATAGACATTATTTAGACTAGGTATCATATTATCGAGTGTTTGTGAGCGGAGTCGTGATATTGTGTCGCACGCGCCGGCTGCCGGCGTGACGAAGGCGGCTGGTATGCGGTGTGATTCAAACGGAAACCCTATATATTCAGTGTTTATGCAACCCGCTGTCCGTTTGTCCGTCACTTTTGCAGACACCATGCAACATTGAATTGAATAAATTATCTTCAGTCGCCATGTGCCTTCTTAATTAATCATTCAAATTCTTTCAAGAATCTGCACGGAAAAATCCAATGTGATATTCCCTTGTAATTAACGATATTAAATTTATGGTAGGTACTTGAAATATGTTAAATGAAGATCGTAATTCATTGAAGTAAGATGAAGGATTTCAAGTTTTTAAAGGCAGTTATTGTCAAGAGATCTTTATTATACAGATTTGAATACTCATGTGTGTATATTCTCGATTCTCAAGACGAGCCAGAGACCTTGGAGGGTATGACGTGACGTGCGTTTCAACAACACGGTTCACACTAGGCATTGGAATGTCGTTTGTCAATGATCGTATAACGCCTGACGTCATAAAGTGACATTAGCTGCTGCGTTTACCCTCCACACAAATTAAACTTTCGACCGGTTGTGTATTAATTTGGTTCATAAATCCGTTGATTAATGTTATGAAAAACTTAAATCACTATACATTTATAAAGCTTGTCGATCGAATGATCCAATGCATTCGATCGACAAGCTTCAACGAATACATTGGAAGCTACGTTTAATTCGATTTTAACATTGTGTGATTGTCTCAGCGGTATGGAATGCGAAGGGAAATCACGTTGACCCCTAACTCGGTTCCTTTTTTGGACATCGGAACGAATATAATCTTCCTGTCCGTGAGTCTGATTATGTACAGCAAGAGGATATATTCAAATAAGTAGGTACATACAAAAGAATACGTGACGTCGCTGCGCACTAACAATTCAAATGACACTAACAATTCAAATGTAAACTACATGAAACAGGTTATTAACCTAATAGTTTGTTCCTTAACTGTGTCTATGACACAGTTTCATATGAGAGATTATCATGTAAACGAAAAGTTAAGTGGGGCAATGCCCTCTTCGAATAAAGGAGTAAAAAAAAATGAGATTGTTCCGAAGCCCAAGGAATGTGCATTAAACGGGCCATCCGGATTAAAATATTTCCCTGGCGGTATTTATAGAGCATTAGTAGGTGTGCGTGTCCGTCTGTCGGTCGGTCGATATGTGTGAGACAGCATGGCACCGCCTCCCACCAGACGTGCTCCAAGTTCGTCGTAATCCTGGACTTGGTCATTGGACTTTAGAAATATTACTCAGATTAGACATTCTACATGACCAATACTATCCGCTTAATTTTTTGGCGTTAAAAGAAAAAGAAATATTTTAGTTTTGATAGTTATTTCTGAATAGTTGTAATGAGATTTGACATTTGAATAAGATTTTGACACCTGTAATTGATAGAAATTCTGTAGAGGCATGAAACTGAATTGTCCAAAGCGGGCAGCAACCTTCGTATTTCTATTTGCGGCTGCTAAACGGCGGTACATTGGCCTTCTCCCTCGCTATTTTCCAATGAGACCGAGATGCACTGGCATATCGCACGGCAAAGCTCGCGGATTTATTCGCATCGATTACGCGTACTGCGGTGTGTGAACTCAATTCGTGTAGCAAACTGTATTATATGTGAAAACATATACGATGACTAAAGTAGAACAAATTATGTAATAGTGATTCGGTTATTTCAAAACATTGTATTTTGGATAAAATTGTTAAATTCTGTTTATAGGCAAATAAAATAAAAGTTTCAAGTAAATAAAAAAAAAAGATTGAATGGTAATGTCTAGTAACATCCAAAATTTTGTAAATAATTTGGGCAATTGAAATCAACAGTAAAAATGTTTTTATAGTTTTCGACATAAATAATGAAAAGATGTTGGTTATTTATTACTCATCACTTGAAAATATTAGGTATAAGACATTGTAATATAAATCAGAACTCGTTTTGAGACCAAGAAAACTGGAAAAGTTTCGGGAAATATCCCAAGTTCGGGATAATCCAAATTTTTTTTGTGTTTCTATTGAGGAAAAAGTTGTAGTTCTTAAAGATTTGTAAAATAGTTCTTCATAAATATTGCAATATTATATTATATTAAATAATGCAATTGTGATAGTGTTTAAGGCTAACAATTAACTGCGTTCTTGTAAGTATCGACAGATGGCGTTATTATAAATTGTAAATATGGTTTTGATGGAAAACATTATTTTTCTTAATTTATTACTATCGTTCCTCCCACAAGTGCTCCAGGCATATTCGGAATTCGTGAAGTTCGAGAAAAGAAGGAAATTAAGTCTATCTGTCTAAAGTTTGCGCAAACATCCCTTCCGTTTTTGTCTATAAAAGAACCGTATTAAAAGAGTATAGGTATAAACACTACTTGAACATGAATATAAATTTATCATCACCCCTAACTTCTCTGAAAATATTAATTAAGTATTCGTCCTTTAAATTTCAATACACAATACACCATGCAATATCTTTCAACTATTGTTAAATTGATTAAAAAATGTTTTCAAGAGCATTTTATTATTTATCTAGCATTATAGCATTAATAATTCTGTCACAATGGTTTTGATTCCAGTAAGTGTTTCTTTTACGTGGGCGCGTGCGAATGTGTACATGTATATGATGGAGTGTCTGCGTGTGAGTCTAAGGGATTCCGTGACACGGGTCACCGTTTCCGAGAACTCGACTCGTCTTGACGTCCCGCTGACAGGACTGGTTTTGCCGTTCTCCCATAACGCAGCAACATTGTTTCTCTATTTGTCTCGCTCACTTTTACTACTATTATATTGCTATCCCGCTTTTACGCAGATGCATTGGATGCGCACACGCACGCGCCCTCTATCCCCTCACCTCGATAAGTGTGATCGTGTTTTGAAATGGACGGCGCATTCGGTAGCCGTGTGCGGAAGGAGTAACGAATTCCCATTGAAGAGTTTTACCCTCTCGACCTTACCATAATGATTTGATGGCCACAAAAATAATTAATACCTTCTTTTTATTTGTTAGTTGTCCTGTAAGGTTCAGAAAGTTCAACGAATTACTAAAACGTATTTAAAATATGTTTATTTACATGTCTACAACCATCTTAGTTTGTATAAATGTAAGAGAACGTAAGCTTACATAAAGCTATGCGCACTCATTTAAACAGTCTTTACTTCATTGCTTACTGTAAAACAACCAGCAAACGGTAAAACAAAATCACGCGAACATCGAAACGTCGATTTCAAAAGTTGCACGTACACCGAACTGGACATAAACGTGGCCAATTAACCGAAGAATCTTATTTAATAACCGACTACCGTATAAACGCCATATTAAAAGTCACGAAAACCGTTAAGTGGGATGCGTATGAGCCGCGGTGTTCATTCGTTTTCGTCACTATAGGAAATGCGAGTGTGTCCGCTTTTTCTCGATGGACTGGTCGTGTTACATGAATCATGATCGAAACTTGTAACAGCAGTGGAGCAGGTCGGCGGCGCCAGCGCTCCACGCCCTGTGCACGTCTGCGTGCACGCCAGCTCCCGGGCACTTGAGTCCACCATCATTAATTATTCTCATGCTACAAGCCACAACCTGCTTGTATTATCTGCACCTCTAGGTACAACTTGAATCTAGAAACTTGCACCTGCTTTTTGTTCTTCTTATGTTTTATCTATAATTCCATCGCGCTTGTTGTATTACACTTTCGATCAAATCTTTATTAAAATATATTCTCGCTTGTATTACTTGCAGCGATTTCTTTATCTATATATTTTTATTCACATCAATTTGTAACCTGATTGCCTCGTTTCTGAACGACGTGATTGACGAACGAGCTATTTTGAATAAAGTAAATAGAATGAAAGTGATTGCGTCCCCTTGTTCCTGTAGTCTATGAAATGTGTGAAGGTTACACGATGAAATCGGGTTTTTTATAATCTTATAAAAAGTTGCCAAATAGGATACTGAAATTTGTGTTTCTAAAATTTATAATTTATTTAATTCAAAATTAGGTATAACCATGTTGCATGTTTACATACAGAAAATAAGAATCTATAACCTGTTTAAGGGTTGTTGAGCTGGTTACCAAATAATCAGTGGGAATTATCCAGGTGAAAGATTCGAGATTACAACTGCAGCTTATTATTATTTTATCTTAATAATAGTCATAGAAGAAGCGTAATAAGCTCGCCTCTGTTCATGGGAAGAACGTCCAGTTGATGTAAAACATTCTATGGCAAGTTTTTTGTACAATTTTAAACTTGTAAAAACATTTTGGGATTAAAATATTTATTAGAAAATAAGTTTACAAAGTTGACAGAATTTTGAAATTATTTGCATTCCCGTAACTGGCATACTTATACATACTTGTTAATTGTTAAAGTTTGGGCAATAAGAATTCCAGTTGCTTCTACTTGTTCTTTCCCGCTAAAACACACAACACTAATTTTATTTAGCAAAGAACATTCCAAACATAATTAATTTCAATGTTGTCCCCATTTGTTAAATATCAAATACCCTAGATTTAACAAAAACGTCGATTGTTCCAGATATACAAAGCCACAGACATTCGCGGACTGTATCGGCAATGAGCTGCCGCTCGGCTGGGAGGAGGCCTACGATCCACAGATCGGACGTTATTACATCAATCATGTCAATCGTGAGTAACACCTGTTTAATGAACAGTTTTTTTTCGTGAATTCCGTTCTTGAAGTTTTTAAGGTTGTTCGTGTACTGAATATTTAACTGTTAAGGTTCTATAGGAGTTACTCCTTATGTTATATTCTTTTATGATCTAATACTCCTGAGTCTAAAAGTTTTAAGAGTTAATTTTATATAACATTCTGTTACCAGGCTGATAGTAATTGATCTTAAAACAATTGACAATGAATTGCAAATAATCTAAACCTACTGTATTATATTATATTATTATATTAAATAGTAGATAGGAATATCATAAGGCCATAACAATACTGCAATAATTCATTTTAGCACAATGAATTGTTTGTACCGGTTAAAACAGTTTTAACTCTTATTTATTATGCCTTGGATTGTTCAGTATGTCTGAGTGAAAAATGTTCAACACGGGGGGCTTATAAAGTACCACGGTGTTTTAGTTATTCCCTATGAATTATTGAACAGCTTGATACATGTCTAGTCTATAGAATGTTGCGACTGTTGTGGCCACCATCTTGAATTTGGTATTTGAAATCGAAAAGAGCAACAGTTCTAACCTCACACCATGACAAATAGATGGCGTTGTACGTATGGTTGGATGTATCTGTGCGCACGCACATCTGATCTACGTTTATAAGTGATTATTCTTTGGAAGGATATTAAATTCGTGTTATGAATAGAATGCTTGCGTATCGTTTACTTACGCAAATGCATCTTCGTGAGTCGTATAGAATTGATGAGTCGTTGCATAGATATTGCTACCGTGTAATTTTCACATGCAGGTAAACTATACGTGTCTCTTGGGATTAAATAAATAATTTTCCGCCTAATTAATGTTTTAGTAACAGCCATACTTGGTAATATATCTTCATTGTTAAGCATGTGATAAATACCATAATTTTATAATAGTTAAATTTAAACTGGTATCACCATAACATTGCAATTTGTTTTAATTGTTAAAATAATATTGTAACTTTTTAAGGATTCTAATCAGAAAAAAGTTAATTTTTGGTACTCTACGAATGAAACGATAATGAAATAGATAAAGACCTCATAGTTACCATTGCACGTAAGGCTTTATTAGGTAAAAAGGCAATAACGTAAACGCATGCTATCTGACGACCCGCAAATATCAGATAACGGTGTGCGCAAACGCAAAGACGCCGTACCTTTACGCATAGCTGGCAAACATTCTTATGCATTATTTATCAAGCATGGAGAAGTTTTCCGCCATTTTCAAACTTTACTTTTTCACGCCCACCTACTAAGTGATTGCTATCGGAGTCAATTTGGATTGGACTTTCTTACTTAAAACGTTTTCTTTTAGTGTCAATACTTGCAATCTTGCTCATCGAGAGTATACTCTTGGGTTAATTAACAAGACTTCTTTAAAAAAGAATAGTTCAATATTTTCGCGTGTTAAGCCAAGATCGTCGTACCAAAATTATCATCAGGTCAATCTAAGCTTTTTATTGTTACTTCTTTTAATGAACCGAAAGTTTAAAATAATCCTAAAGTTCTTTAAAAACAACGATCTCATAAATTACAACATTATATGAATGCTTGACTCAAAATTGCTGTTCTCTCAACACATGATAACATCATCAATAAAGCCTCTCGTAATCTTGGTTATGTAATGGGTACTTGGAAAGCTTTTAGAAATTGCCATAGTATAAAGATTGTATATTATGGCTATGTCCGTAGCGTGTAGGAGTTATTGCATCCAAATTTGGGCACTCCGATATAATGTTTGTATTTCGAGATTGGAAACTATAGATGAAGTTTGTTGGAAAATTTAAATCTGGAAATGTTAAGCTCCGTATGTCGTGGTCTATTTTCCAATTATCAACTTTTCCTTATGCCTCGGGAATATATTAATTATTTATGGGGTAGGTTTTAGCTTGCTTTGAAAGAAAACTCATTATAAAAAGGTTTTTAACAAGCATAGCAATTTTAATATTTCTCTAGAAAAGAAACAATTTATCCAGAAATGTTTTGATGTTTCGTTCATTTCGTTAGATGCAATTATTTTAGATAGATTGATTGACTTGTTAGTAATAAAAATGGATAAAATTCACGTTGTTATAACATATAATAACGACATTATTTACAATACGACATGTTTTATATTGACATTGATCTGGAGTATTTTATTGTAGATTACCGTAGATTTCTACTATTGGCATAGTTGAGTGCTAAAGAGCCACATCTCCCAAGTGGTAGCGATTATTGGGGTAGCGAGTACTTATATTTTTCGGTAATCGTTTACCATCTCCGGGTCTTGTGCTTGTTTACCAACTTAGTAACAACTAAGTTGGTAAAGTTCACAGTTACGTAGGTGGTTTTACTTGTAAGATGCAGTCGCGCGTCACATAACTATTCTGTCGTGTAGCCTTCGGTTGCTATGGGCGTAACTGGTGTATGTCGTAGAGAAGTTATCGGTGGAATTTACATTTAGTTTGTAAAGCATTATCATTAAGCATTTTATATTCCTACGTACTATACAAACTTAAATAAATACTATGTAAATGAAGTCCATTTCAAAGCATGCAAATAACAAACATAGTTTACTTTAAAATATGTAACTGCATAAAACTTTAATAAGCGAAATGAATGCAGAATCTAGTGAAAACATAATATTTTTAAAATTATCTAAAAGATAAATACGACGCAGACGCAAATGACTTAAAAACCATTAAAATGACAAGTCATTCGCTTGTACATTCATACATTTCAGTGGCATTTACGCTGTCCATTTGCAATATTCAATACAATATGCTAATGAACCAATTGTTTATGTTAGATCTATCGATAGCCCAACCAATAATACTAATGATAATGCAGTGCTTCATAAATTTCCCCATATGTGGATTAATTATGAGAAAAATATATTTCTTTATAAATTACTCCCAACGTACTGTGATTACATTAATTTTGTAAAATAATGAATTCAGTACATTTATAACATGTTTTTACTAAAAAGCAATTATACAAAAACACATGACTATAAGCCCAAACACCGCAGTATATTCTTAGTTAATGGTTTTGAATATAATAGTCTTAAATATATTATATTACATACAAACAAACTAATAAAATCTGACAACTTTAATATGAAATTAGTTGACCTTGATTAAGTTTATCTGTAGTAGGTATGTCCGGTGTACATGCAAGGCTAACTTGATTGTATATATTTGAGATTGCTATTTTATGAGAGTAATTATTGTGCCAAATCGAAATTGGCCGTACTGTATAGCATCGAATCAATACAGGGTTGATTAAGTGATACAGGGAACTATATGGAATCAAAAGTTTCCAATCGAACTGAAGGATAGATCGATAAGATGAAAGAGTTGCGGATTTTGAATGGACCTGAAAGAGGACCTATAATAGGAAGGGCATTAAGATATCTACATCTGCAACTGTGAATATAAGGACGGATGTGTGATTGATTACTGGGATGGACAAGGTGGGAAATTAATATATATTACAAGGTTGCCTAAAAGAACATATTATATGTGAAAAGTGATATATCTAGAAAGAGCGTAAACATTACAATAGTCAATGATAACGTAGAAATAGAAGAATACTATCTATATATCGACTATATAGTATATCGACCTCAAATAAAGTTATGAAAAGGTTAGATAATAATAGTATAACTTTTAAATTTACATACACTTGCCATAAACCGTTCAAACAATGCGGTGAGGTTAGACACTAAGAAACAGGACATTACAAATGTTTTGCTCGTCATTTAAAAGCTCATTGAAGAAGAATGCCTCGCGGATAACCCATTATTCAACACTAACGCGGTCAGTCGTTAACATAATAATAGAAATAAATGTATGTTTCGTTCATGTAGATGCTGTTCTAGGAACGGATTTTTTTTGCACTCAACACCTTATTAAATTACCATTAATCCTTAATGTATTAAGCAAAATAGGTGTACCTAAATACTTACCTACTTTGGGATCGCATAAAAGGCTGTTTTCTTTCTCTTTTTCTCTCAGAATTGTCACGATAACCATGTTAATTTTGTCTGAAACCAGCAACTGATTTACTAAAGGAATCAACCCTGTAAGGATTTATCATTACATGTTACAAACATACATACATACTTTCCCTTATTTTATCAATAAATCATGCATGTTTTATGGTTTTATTATAAATATAGATTGCATGTATTGTAAATTTAAGGCTTCGTTAAATTAAATTTATTTTCCAAATTCCCAGTCTCAATTTATTATCAGTCCCCGGTACTGCATGCGAATAAATTCTTAGGGGTCTTTGTTACAAGGTGCACACATGTATCTTTTAACTAGGCTCAGCTTGCTTATTTTATTCGATATATTTGCACACGGATTTAAATATTTTATTATTCTAAAGTAAGTCCTGGCCTAAGCTTAGGTATAGATTAAAACCTATCCAAAAATAAGAATGATAAAAAAAGATAATTTTAAAATAAAAATAATGTAACACGATTAATAAAACAGTGACACACTCATAAAGTAACGAAAGTTTAAGAAATACAACTTCTTTATGCAACATGTAATAGACTAATATTCAAAATTAGTACATTTCATAATCTGCAGAGTCCAGTAATAAAACTGGAAATTTATTTAAACATACAGACAAATTGGAAATGAAATAGGTAGTCTGACATGATCAGTACAATATTAAACAACTCATTAACCATAGATATTTGTTGTAAAAAAGGACATGGAATTGAAACCCGTTTTTAATTGACGAGCCAATTAATTTTAATATTTTCTAGAGAAGTCGCTACGTTGTGTTTGCGCATATTTCTGTTAATATGCATACGTTACTTTGTTTATACCTTCTCTACTTTACATATATAGTTTGCAGCATCCACATTCTTTATCAAGGTATGCAATCTTCCCTATACCTATATTCTGCATAAACTCGCAATATTTATATGCTGCGTGCCACCTTTTATTTTACACGAGTCATATGCGTTGTTGAACATTTCATATGAAATTTAAGATGACTTTCTTGCTGAATTGGAAGGAAGCAAGTTCGTATTTAGCGAATGATACTGTTTTAATGCGTTGATGTTTGATGCGAATGAACTAGTTCTTGTGTTTATGAGCTGTTTTAAGGCAATTTTTGCCTAACATTATAGATAGTTCATTGTAGTATTTATTCTTACATACACATCGTAACTGATGTACTTAATTGAATGTTAATACAAGGACAGTGTGTGGTCAAATTTTATTGTCAAAAGAAGCGTCGTCACGTGCATTGTCTGTTTATCGCCTTGCGTGTTTGATTTTGTATATAATCCGTTTTCGAAAGGCCCTCTATGAATAATTAATTTGTTACGTGACGACTCTGTTCTTTGTCTCCACGTAGATGTTTTATAAACATTAGCATTGTTTTCTGGGTGCAACATTTCTTTTCCTTTGTTGATAATTGTGTAAACATTTTCATTACAGATCGTCAATATATCCGTATAGTCTTTGTTGTAACAATTATGTTTTGTTAATATCATCCTGGTATACGGGTACTGTCCACAAACGTTTTGGTGGCGACTAAACAATTCAATTTACTTCCTGATATGACTACTCTGAAAGTTTAACTAAAGAGATTAATTTAAATAATAATAACTTCAGCTTTAATCATTGCCTGTCTAATTTAGATTCTGGGCCACTGAAAAATCTTGTCAATAACCGTGAGTTTCTAGATTGTGTTACCCTTTTGTTTAACCACTATCACTTTACCTTCATCGCGAACAGTAGCCAAATTACGTAGCAATTTCGTCGGCATTGTTTCTCTAATCTGATATAAGTGAGTAACAATCAAGTCTGGAGGATCGTTCCGGCCTTGCTTGGTTCAGAATTGAGAATAATAATTGAAAGATCGCTGCGTGCGCACTTTGTATGTCACGCGGTGTGCGAATGATGGAGGAATGCAGCTGCCACGATTATGACTGGGTCTATGATTGGTTCCTGTCGCTATGTTGAGCTATGGTATAGGATCATGCGTTTAGTATGAGTAGTTTCAGTTAGACTGTATATGAGTATTCTGTACAAACAAACACCTCCTTAGCTATGCCTCTCCGTAAGTTCAACCAACTGAACCATTAACACGTAAATAAAATGTAAGTATAAAAAAAACAAAAATTATGTAAACTTTTTACAGGTGTGGTTTATCTTATCTATAGACGATGCAAAACTCATGATCATCAAAATTCGTAATTCGTCTTTCCTGTAATTTCTTTCCTACACCATAGTCGTTTAGTTTGCAAACCAATTACTCCTGTAAATATTTGAATTAGTTACCTACTAATTAAAATCATGCTACAGTTTACAGCCAGACAGTGACATTCGGCAGTAAAAACGATCGTATCTGAATTTATTGAATGCTACCATTATCAAACATTCGAATGTACTTGACCATAATTGGCGGGTAATCGATAAGCGTATCGCATACCTTTGTGATGAGTAACGGCTACTTAATCTGTGTCGTAAATGTAGGTATTTGGTTTTGTGTTTATTTGGACTCGGAGGAAAAATTGTTTAATTAAAATTCCATTGCGCTGATTTGTTTGGTTTCTCTTTTTATAAACACTGTATACGCGATTGTTAGAGTTCGCTTTTTAGATGTTTTTTTTAAGTGATTTTCTATTGTTTACAAAAATACAGCTAACTGCCCCCGGGCCATGTGTACTTTAATTTATCGGGATATTTCACTCATTATCTGGCCACATTTGGGATAGCAAGGATAGTCGACTTAACAGTAACATACCTAAGTGATGAAAAGGTTTTACTTCAAACTTGAACAAGCGCGGACCTGCGCTCATATGTATCTTCATCCTATGTATTCTTGTCATACCACATCTTTAGAATAATAACGCATAGAAGGATGGTTTCATATCAAAAAACCGTCGAGGTTGAGGCAAAACACAATTGATGTAGGTGTAGTCGGCGACACGCACACTACCGTACGAGTAATGTTGCTATCGGAATCAGATTTTCCCCAAAAGTAGGGAAATTTGAATTGCTACTTTTGGAGTGCAGGTTTCTGCACTCACAGAAAGGGATTTCTTTTTTAATTTTATGGATGAAAATCTGAAATAAGTAATATATATATATATATATATACTTACACAACGAAACATTAAAAGAATTAAATAGTAGAGATCTTTTTACAGTTATTATAGTATTCCGACATAGATTACATCTTCCACAAATGATTTTATCAATTAACTTATAAATAAATTTCAGTTATGTGTTAAATAATGTATGGTTTATTAAAAAGCTGCTGAAAATATCATATGATTAATGGACGATACCTTTCCAGTAAAACTAAGGCCCGGGGTACTCTGACTGTCGGTCGCGTACGACCGACGTGTGTCTGTCGCGTGCGAGTGGGTTCTCTGGACGCGGTCGTTAGCGTCTCGTAGTCGTGATTGTGAATCGTGTTTGTACTCGGAGCAAAATGCACGAAAATATATTAACATTGTTTCGAGAAGAAGTGGCAGATGAACTTCTGAAGTTATCAAAGAAAAGAAAAGAAAACTAATTCAATATTCATAAAATCACTGACCCACATAAATTGTTGTTTGATGCATCAAACAATATAGTTTTATATCCCATAAAAATAATTAACAATTCGTCATTTTAGTTATTAAAACTCATTTTAAAGTCAGGACGTAAGAATAGTATTAAGTGCGTTCAATTTGACTATGCCACCGAATTATAATCAAATTTATTTTATTAATACTGGCCATTCTGTGTCAAGGCTTCCAGTGCAAGTGAATTACATTACCAACCTATTTACACCAAAATATTGGAATAAACATAATACTTACATGTGGAATGTTATGATACAATTTTTGGTATGCTTATTCGATGTACTGTGGCACACGTTAATTGCACAAACTGTCATTTTGTATGAAAATTACGGTAGCTGTTAGGAATACAATTTGAGATTGAGCACTGACGCCTGCCGTTCGTCCGCTATGCCAAAATGGCATATTTTTACTTGCCTCACATTTCGTGCGTGTTCTCGGTTTCTATACGTTATTATTCTAAGACCACATCTCGATGTCCGTCCATGTCTGTACAAAATATAATATACTGTAGCGGTGTACAATAAAGATGTATAAATAAAAAAAAACATATCCTTACTATGGTTAAAACATCATGAAAGCTAGTTTTTTCTTTTATTTGTTCAGAAAGAAAAATTCATGTTTCCAAGGGATAAATTCAACATATCTGAATTGATGTACAAAATCTGCAATCTACATCACAAGCCGCCGGCAAAACCTTGCATAGTACCCATATAATATGTTTACGAAGTCAGGAATCCGTTATTTCCTTATATACAATTACAAATCACTACCCCAGACAGACAGAAAGGCGGCTAAGTGAAATGACTAATACACGTGTTGTTTTGTGTTGTTGCAGAGGTGACGCAGTTGGAAGACCCGAGGCTAGAATGGCTCAGCATCCAGGAGGCGATGTTGAGGGAGTACCTGCACACGGCGCAGGTGTCTCTCGAGGTATGTACTCGTTATACTACAAAGACAATATTAGTACATAAGCAGATTTTCTTGAAACACTGTTACTGTGATACTCAAATTCTCATTTTTTTAATAAAAACTTGCAGACAGACTAAGTAATGCAAATATCCGGTTATGGTAATTATCGAGTTTGCATTTGTTAATATTATCTATCGCTCTGACCCGATGCATTAGTCCAATATCTTTGAATGTAGACTTAAATAAACTTGTAACAACCAGAATTTGTTCCAATATTTTATTGTTTCTTCTTTACGATTCATCACTAGGCATTGTTACTCATTCTTAAGTGGAAACAGACAGTTGATAAATGTATGACTAAATTTAAAGTTGTGATGAATTCCACAAAGGGCGAATGTATCGACTTCGGCGGGAATAGTGAATTAGCCTCGATTTACGTGTCATTTACAATTTCTATAGCGGTACTTATACATCAAGTTCATGAGTTGAAATGTCATTCGGTATTGACGTCTTCCTTTTCATTTGTATTTACCGTAATGTTGCTGTAGCTCAAAGCCTTCATAATTTAAATATATTACATGCTTAACAAAAATTTGTATAGTACTTAAATATTTCCTGTCTTACATAATGTACCTACCTACATTTGAAAGCATGATCTAAACACGATTTACGTATCTAGAGCACGGCAAGCTGTACCGTCCGTATTTATAAGTCATTCCGCACATTTTTGACCCCTTGTAACTTCGTTGTGGATAAAGCCAAGAGCCTGGATTTTCAGTGGTCAAAATGACTTAATATTATGTACTTAGTAATAAATCATTATATAATGAGCTAATAATAACTATGACATGGCATTCGCACACGGCAATGTTTATGTATGCATAAAGGCTGTTGTGCGGTGGCCGGGTTATAGTGCTATTGATTTAAGAAATAAATTTGTCTAAAATGTCACCATTAAAAATTGTTAGTTGATAGATTAAGTAACAGTTAGGTCTCATAACCTTTTGCTGCAGAAGAATTACGTTGCTACACTTCAGTATTTTATATATAACTTTTATATGGAGTACGATATTTCCAAAAGTTAAATTCTTATCTGAATGCGACAAATTTCATCGTTCCGATAAGTAAACGCAAAAACATTGTCCTGTATGTGTTTATTCTTATCGTTATAATACTAAGTATGAATCAATCGAATAAAACAAAAATCGAAATGCGGATGAAAATTAAACAAAGTCATTAAAATGTGATAGAACTGCTATCTATAATTAATGTGCTTTAAAGAACATTAAACACTCGTTTAGTGGCTTCTCCACAAGATAAGAATGGAATGTGATCGTGCTCTGATACTTAGATAAGAAGATAAGTGGCCGCAGTATTGTTTCGAATTGAGCACGCAATGGGAACTGAACGATCATAGTTCAGTTCAAAACAATATAAATTTCACAGTTAATGTTTGTGGACAAAAAATGAGGATCAAGAATGAGGTTCGTATAATGTATCGTTCAGGAGAAAGTTTTTTTGTTTTTTTTTTTAATAAAAATAATATTTCCATGAACGCAAAAATATAGGGAATACGATTTATTTTTTATTCTTTAAATTTGTTTATGTAATTAAGTCTCGTTAATGGCCCAAGGTCACATTGAAGTAAATTGTTTAACAAGAAAAGTATTTTATTAATTATTGAAAAGTTCATGTACATATTATTTGAGATTCGAGCAGCAAAGGTTAAAATTACTTCCTTACTTAAGTTATTTTGATATTTTTCGAAGAACTTTTACGAATACGTAATTAATGTTTAAAAAAATCAAAATTCAAGAATTTGCAATTCGATAACAAATTAGTGTCAGAGCTACTACCTACCTATATGATATTGTAGAGTTGCTTAGGACTACCAATCCTTTGATGATCCATGTCATGGCAAGATAAAATACTGTTTTACCTATATTTAAACTTTCATGTGAATACTGGGCTATGGAATTGCAAAAACATCTCACGTCCAAATTCGGATGAGTACCGTTATCAAAACGATATCGGTGCGAAAATTCAGTTTTGTATGTTTGTTAGCTTTGTGTTTTTGTTTGGTAGGTAATGCTTTTTTTAATTTCTTAGATATTTGGCATTCCATTCCTGATTCATTAATTCATTTATTACAACTTGATTTATGTTTTAATATTGACCTATGTCAAATTAGCAAGGCTTTAGAACGAGACGTGTATATAAAATTTCATCGTACATACAATTTCATAGAGTAGTAAAGACGTGTAATCGTAAAGAACAACCATTTTTTGAACTTAAACATTATTAAGGATGTCAACCAATAACAACTTTGAACAGTACAACGGTGTGAAGGAAATGGAATTTAAATTAACATAGTTTCTACTTGAACCCTGATATTTGGCTCTTTTAATTCGTTTGCACTCAAATATCAAAATATTAAGGCTGCTACGTCCAAGACATTTCGAACGCCCACTAAATATTGCTGTTGATAACGTTACATAACTTAAAAGGTTCCACGATTAATTTCTGCATTACCTTAAATAATTTAATATAAACACATTTAAATTAGGAGTATTTCGCCGTACACTTTAAACAAATTTTAAACAATTTAAATTTTATTTAAATTAATTAGCAATGATAAAATACAAATTTGTTGCATTTACATTTCTTAGTCAATTAGAATAAAATACTTTGATTATAATTTACAATATTAAGAAACTATTATAGTTTTGCAAACTAAGCAAAAGTAATCTACGGAACATCACTATTAAGGCCTAATTTATTAATACATAATCGAAAAAGTTATATTAAAAAAAAACAAGATAAAAAATAGATTCCACGTTTAAAAATCAACCAATCAATTTAATAGGTACCAAATTCTGAATAGGAATGCGACAGCCGTCACGATAGACTACCACCAGTCATCTGTTCTAACCTTCATCCAATTGACGTCAATTGATTGATAATGGGTGCAAGTAAACAAAAAGATACTTAGATTGATCAATTACTGTAAGTAACCTGGGACTTATGACCCTTGGTCTTGACTGTGCGCAAATGGATACGGATCATCAGATTATAAACTGACCTCTCTATCATTATCTTCTTAAAAGCTAATTTTGATAAACTATAGTTTACTGCATGATTGGAAAGGAAGGGGGGGCTTTTTCACGCTTCCCCCCCTACCTCCCCTTACACGGGGAGGGAGGGGGGGGGGGACGTGAAAAAGCCGACCCCGTGTTAGTTTTTTTTTTTTTTTTGATATAAAGACAACGCCCGCATTAGGAATATATCCTGTGTCGCGGAGGACTTTACAACTCAGAACAACAATTTGTGGGTCACACAAAGTGTCGTCCCATGTGGGGTTTGAACCCACAACACTTGGCGCATTAGGAAGCGGCGTGGCGACCGCTTAATCCACTACGCCATCCGTGCAGTCTGTTGTTTTTATTTATTTTTGTTAAGATTTTATTTGAAAACATTAAATTTTATTTTATGTTTCATATTTATTAATGACAAACAAAATATTGTATTAAGTTCTAATTAATACTATTTTATTTTATTACTTATGAAATATTAATGAATAAAAGACGAAAAAATGTACTGGTGATCGCTTACCTAAAAAAAGGCTGTCTGGTACATTTTTTTTTTTACAAAATTAGTGCCATAAAAGTAACTATTGAAATATTTTTGTTAAAATGGGAATGACTGTTGTTAAGATTATAAAATAATGTTGAAAGTTCCATATCAAAGACTCATTTTAACTACAATTATAATAAAAACATATATTAATAATAAGATATCATAAAGCAGTATTCTGGATTAGGTACATAACGGAGTTGCACATTAATTATCAATAATTTTCGCTAACTATTAACCCCAAATAGTTTTATTCTACGAATTCTACAACTTTTTACTACCTATTAAAAAATAACAGGTAAACTGAGTCAATATTTCTTTTAATACCACTTAATGTCGCCCATAGTTATGCTATCTCGAATAAAACGCCGTCTAACCCGTTTGATTAGTCATAATACTAAGAATATAATGTTTCAGTATAACTTATGTAATCCCACGTGTTTGATCGTTTAAAGTATGTAAACATTAGCTGTTGCGAGTTAGTTTGTGACCGGAAAAGATATGCATTCTTCTGTTAAGACGAAAGATAAGCTGTTGTTGGCTGATTTCTATGCGACCTCTTTTGCAAACGATTTTAAGGAAAAAGGGTTTGGCATGTGGCATGACACGGTAAACTTCTATATGTTATTTGCAAATTCGACGTTTAAAAAACATTTTTCCTAGAACGCATCATCATCATCACATCAACAGCCTATAATAGTTTATTGCTGGACATAGGCCTCTCCTTAGAAAGGAGGTTTTAGCCTATTATACCACGCTGGCCAGACGGGTTGGTATACGATATAATAAGGTTTGTTTCAAGTTTTGCTTCTCTTTGCAGTGCTGTTGTCTTGCGTAGTTTTCCTAAAACAATATACGATTTTTTTTAGGTCTCAAATTGAAATCATTGATATTCTATATACTTTTTCAAAATTTAAATTGCTTAAGTTGACTATTTAAGTGCATAATAGTTTTGTAACTGGTTTGGTTTCATGATAGATTTAAAATCAGCGTAGCAGGTCCAGCAAGACATGCTGCTTAAGTCTAAAATTTTACTTATTCAGAGGTCCGTCATGCATATATCAGGGGAACTTAAAAACGAGGCCAAGATCCATGTATGACCCTTTTGCCGAACAGAGATATGACATATGTATATGTAATGTTATAACATTACCTTACCAGACGACTGACCAGCTGATTCATTCTCAAATATGTTTTAAAACAAGCAAGTGCCAAACGAAAATACAGTCAAGTATTTGTGAAACAGTAACTACAGTTAATGTTTGTATGGTACTAAATTATCAATATTACTGTTTTGTTTGAGGTTTCGATTCCTGTGTGATTTAAACTATTGTCTGTCTGAAAACATCTGCAGCTTCCAACGATTAATCTCTGACTCTAACTAACTT